GGCATGGCCAAGGGGCAGGTTGAGGGTGGGGGAGTCGGGAATGTGCAATAGGTGGTCCATTGTGCGGTGGAGAGCATAGCTGACGATAGATGGGCGACTAACTGCGTGCACTGCAATGAACTGTGTTTTGGGGCGCTGTGTGTGTTTGTGTGTGTGCGGGTGGGGGGTGGGGTGTGTGTGTGTGTGTTTGTGTGTGTGCGGGTGGGGGGTGGGGGGTGGGGGGGGACACATCAATCGATTGAATGGCAAATGGCGGACGCAGTCCCTCTCTGGTGTCCACAACGCGTATACATTAGCTAGCAGAGCTCTTAGCTAGTGCCCTCGAGGGCGGCCGCCTTGCAGAAGGGCAGGAGGGGGAGACCAGACTCATGAGGAGGAGGAGGTTAAGGACAGCATGAGTGGTGCATGCAACGACAGCATGAGGCAGTCGCACTGCTTTTGTTTCTTTCTGCTGGATGCATCGTGTACATTCACCTCACTACAAGAATCAGAAGTAGATCGGTCCTGCGTGGGGATCCAGATCCTCGCCGCCGTTTTGGCCAGCCGAAGCAAGTTTTTGCTCCTCATCGCGTTGGCGGCCATATCGGCAGTGGCCATGGCGACGGCCACGCGCGGCGACTGTGAAGAGGGATACGACTGCCCTGCCGACGGTAGGTAATGGTTGAGAGGGAGTTGGATCTATGGCACACCCATCACTCCTGGCTCATATGTGGCTGTCCTACCTGCTGCTGTGTGCAGGTGGGTCGTTTGTGGACCGCACGGGCGAGATCTCCGGCATGGCTGCCGGCAACACAGGTGCGGCCGGGATGGATGGGATGCATGGGCGGATGCGATGGATGGTTGGATCTATCTGGGTGGGGTGCATCCCGCGTGTGTAGGTGGTGCTGTGCTGTGTGTGCACGTGCATTGTCGGAGGGCTCTGGGGCGGCGGCGTTTGTGCAGCAGCAGGTGCAGCAGGCCAAGACCATGATGGTGGCGGCCAACAAGATGAGCCGGGCGGCCCACAAGATGGCCGCGAGCGCCCTCGACGCCATCCACACCGCCGAGCAGCAGATGAAGGGCTTCACCAAGGGGCAGGGAGGCCACACTGTTGCGGGTAAGCAATACGCGGGGGCGGGCAATACACATACAGATGCATACATGTGTCCGTCTGTCTGTCTGTCTTGCGCGGTGTGGGTAAGGCTCTTGTAGCAATAGCGAGAGTAACTTCTGGTGTATGAGCCACGCTGACGGATCGCAGTGCGGCCCATACAAGTTCGGTGCTGGCGCTACTGCTATTAGAGTGCCCTGCCACTGGTGGAACGGCATCTGCCGGGTGCGCGTGCCACACACTACAGACACATTCACAACGCACTCGTGGTCCCTGACTTTCTGCACGACGTTGATTGGCTGCGTGTTGCATGCTGTCTGTCAGCTTGGTGGTCAGGGATGACCGTTGAGAAACACTTCCAAGCCAGCGGGGGACTGATAGCGCACCTCACTTAGAACACACACACTATTAGTGTGGACAGCCTCACATCGAGAAGACACCATGTCTGCCTGTTTGGCCGTCTGGCTGCACGTGGGATGGATGGCCGTCTCGTCGATCGACTGATCTGCACCCTCTGTCTGTCTGTCTGTCTGCCTGTCTGCCCATTCCCACGACTGTAGCCACCACACACGCACACACATACAAACACGAAGAACGACCAGACAGAACACACTACCGCTAGCCGCGTTTTACGAGGGGGACCGACATGTGTCTGTCGACAATGGGTGGAGGGAGGGGGCACTTCTTGAAGAACAGAACACATGTCGGGCCGTTGCATAGCCAGAGTGTGTGCAGTGTGTGGAGTGTGCTGCTGCCGCTGGTGGGGTGTGTGATTTGTGTGGCTCGATGGTTGAGGGGATGAGTGGACACAGACACACACATGCATGTGCATACTTAATTGAACCACCCATGGACCACACAAGACGTTGATGCGTCCTCGCACTCTTGACACCACTCATACACACATCAACCATCGAAACCACAGCTCACTGCTGCCGCCCGTATCTCGGTACCACCATCACCACCATCGGCATGACGCCTCCCAGCCATCTCCTCATCTGCGCCATGCACTTGGTCCACCATCGGATTGCCCCCACGCGTGGCTGGGAGTAGCCGCGAATGGTCTTATCAGCGAGAACTTAAAGATGGCCATCCGAAGCTTGGCTGCCCCGGGGGATAGATTCCAGCTGCTCAGCCGTCTGTGTTAGCGTTAGTGTGGACGTTGTGGTGAGACATGGCATCAAAATCCCCGTCTCGACCGTCGACTGCCAGCCACAGGGCGAGAAGGTGTGAGAGGGTCGTAGAGGGTCGTAGTTGGGTTGTGAACGAGAAAGATGAAGCCGGCAAACCCATCCGCTAGTCGGCATTGTCATCTCTCCTCACCCAAGCAAGCGACGGCCTCTGACGAGCGAACGAATCGGCAAACCTGCTGATGACTTAATAGAAAGCCCTCCATTTAGCCGTCTGCGTGTCCCACCATACTCCCACCACCGTCGGTGGCACGTGGCGCACCGACCCTACCACACGATAGCCGCCCCGACCGTTGGGCACTTTGAAGCGTGTCTCGACGTGGTAGCCAAGACGATTGTGGCTATCATGCGGAGAAGGTGCCGAAAGGGGAGAGGCCGTCGCGTGATATCCCATAGAGTTGGGTCCCTGGACGGAGCACGGCAGAATACTAACAGGCGGTCGACCAGACAGCCTGCATGAGACGCAAGTTAAACGTTGATTCCTTCTTACCTTCTTACCCTTCTTGCGACAAACTCACCAGTTGTGCCTTTCAATGTCTTCGATAGCGGGCCGTCTCGCAGGATCCTCTTGAAGCAACAATACAATGAGATCCCAGCATCTGCGGCTGACAGCTTCATGTCTCACACTGCCCCCCTTGGTGGCCATCCAATACAAGGATTTCCTGTATCGGGTGGCATGGCAAGCACCAAGTCAGACCCTGCCATATGGATTCAACGATGCGTGCCCTAAAGAGTAGATATCGGCCGCTCTCCCATCGATGGCGCTCTTCTCTTGAATGACCTGCATGTTCAGATATATAAGCGTATGTCTCTAGAGTGGATCCAATGTGTGTATCTACCTCAGGCGCAGCGTAGTATGGAGTGTGGCTCCTTTTAGCCATACCCACCTTGCCATCCACCTACATGACATGTCATGTGTAGCAAAAGCCACAATACATGTGTGAGTCCTTTCTGTGCGTCGACTGACGCATATCGCAAGGGATGTGTTGAAGTCGGTCAGCCGTATGTCCTTCATGCTCTTATCCCACAACAAGAAACTGTCAGTCAGCCAGGGACATACAAATGATTCGAAATGAATGCCAAACAGAAGCCAAGCGATAGTATTCTGCTTCTTCACTTGTCAGGCTTGATGTCCCTGTATAGAGAGTACACGACACAGAGCAGTGCAATGATCGGGAGTGGGTGTGATGAATTTCTGCTGACCCGTGATAAATGCCTGCCTCGTGGCATTGTTTGACTGCTGTGACCATCCCCTTGAAGAGATCTCTGATTGTTTTCTCGCAGTTCCAGGCGCCTGACACACAGAGCCCTTCTAGATCACCGCCCGGGCACTTGTCAAATACGTAGGCGTCCCTGTCATTGCCCGAGTAATGCTGCACACCAACAAACACACCATACGCAGCAAGTACGTCATGCTCACGGATTGCTCACCTCCCTCATGGTCTGCAGCTGTGGGTATTTGCCTCCGACGACATCCCTCAAGTAATACAGAATGCCCTTTTCCCTGTTCCGTCCACTGCGGTCGGTAGGCACATCCTTGACGAACACCTCTCTTCCACTCGCCCTCTCAGCCGCGATGTAGGTGTGGCTCTGCCTCGTCGGATCCCCGTACCCGGCCGGCCTCAGTGGCGTGTAGCGCTCCTTTAGCTCCAAAATGGGCCTCCCGGTAACATCAAGTAGCCTGCATGTCGTCCACACACGTGTCGTCCTGGTGTTCAGTTCATGATCTCCTCCACTCACCTGTCGCCAACACGCATAACATAGCCGTCAGCGTCAGTCTCTCCATCCATTCTCACGAAGAAATGGCTGCCGCACAAAGCTTCTGGCATGATTGCGAGGGAACTGAAGGGAATTCGAGTGTCTCTCACGGCCCCACTGGGGGGCACGATCGCAATTTTCCCTCCCCCCCCACCCTCACGACGTATCAGGAAGACCCTTTTGTTCCTCCTCTGGGAACCACGCCCCGTTTGAAAGCTCAAGGATGGAGGAGAAGGACGACAAGCAGGTCACCGGCAGCACTAAGGACAGCACCAGCGCCACCAGCACCGGCAAGCACCCCGAGAAGTATCGGCGGCTGAAGGTGTTGGGCAAGGGGTCGTTCGGCAAGGCGTATCTGGTGCAGAAGACTGAGAGCGGTCAGCTGTGCGTGATCAAGCAGATGGAGACCACTATGATGAGCGAGCAGGAGAGGCAGGAGGCCATCAAGGAGGCACACGTGCTCAAGAAGATGAACCATCCAAACATTGTCAAGGCAAGAGAGAGGCAGAGGGAAAGGGATAGGGACAGGGAGAAAGAAGGCGTCATGCACAACCACCTGCCGAACCCCTTCGCGTGTGTGTGTGTCTGTCTTCAGTTCCATGAAGTGTTCATGACGCGTCGAGGTCGGCTGTGCATTGTGATGGACTATGCGGATGGCGGGGACATCCACCTGCTGATCAAGAAGAGGGAGGGGGCGCTCATCCCTGAGAGCCAGATACTCAACTGGTTCGTGCAGACCGCTCTCGCCCTCAAACACGTCCACGACAGAAAGGTACCTCGTGCAGTCACAGACCCATGCACCACAGAGAGAGGAGGCAGGAGAGACACGCCACACACGTGCATGCGGAGAGAGAGAGAGAGAGAGAGAGAGAAAGAGAGAGATATATACCCTCTGTCTGTCTGAATCAATCAGGTGTTGCATCGTGATTTGAAGAGCCAGAACATCTTCCTGACGTCCTCTGGTGTGGTCAAGCTGGGAGACTTCGGCATCGCACGGATGCTTGAGGCCACCAAGGACTTCGCCAGGACCATGGTTGGCACGCCGTAAGTCGTCCACACACAGACAGAGACGAGGAGAGGAAGTGCAGGGAGGGAGGGAGGGAGGGGCCGTTTTAACCTTTGCCAGGTACTATTTGTCGCCCGAAATCATTGAAGAGCGGCCATACAACTTCAAGAGGTGGACCCCAAACAGACACAGAGAGATATGGATCTGTGTCTGTGGCTATACATATTACCCAGTGACATCTGGTCGTTGGGCGTGGTGCTGTACGAGATGACCACCCTCCGCCACCCGTTCGACGCCGAGTCGCTGCACTTCCTCGCCATCAAAATACTCAAGGGCACCTTCCCACCACCTGACCCCAAATACAGGTGATGCACTTCGAGACACACAAGCAGAGAGAGGGAGACACACAGTGCACCCTCTCTCTGGTTACGCGTGTGTGTCTGGTCATCTGTGCAGTTCTGATTTGGTGAGTCTGATCAAGGCCATGCTCAACAGAGACCCAGAGAAACGACCAAGCGCACTAGAAGTGAGCCGTCAGCAAGAGAGGCATGTATGTCTCCCTCTGCATGTGTCTCTGTCGCCATGTGTGTGTGGCCACAGGTGCTGCGTCAGGCATTTCTCCGTCCGTATCTGGAGCAGGTTGCGCGCATCGAGCATCTGGACCTGGACAAGGAGCTCTCCCCCACACCTGTCGACTACCACCCCCAGCAGCGCAAGTCCATCTCCACACCATCAGCAGAGGCAGCGGCGGCATCCTCCGCTGCCCCCCAAGCACCCTCTCAGCCACAGCCGGCACCAGCACCAGTTCCTGCGCCCCCTGCACAGCCACAAGTACACAAAGAGGGTATATGTGTGGGCGGCATGGGGGATGGTTGGTGTCTTTGTGTGGCCACAGGTGTTGCAGCCGCCCCAGCCGAGCTCGTCGTCATCTCGCAGCCGCAAGCAGAGCCGATCAACCACGCGAACCAACTCGGTAACTCCACAAAGAAAGGGGAAGCGAAAGATGTGTGTGACATTGTGTAGGAGCCGGGTGACCCCGAGCCGGACATGGAGAGTGAGGACGAGGGCGGGGACGGCGGCGCACGCAAGCCCTCTGCGGCGCACATGGCGGACGTCAAACTGCCCACCGCACGGCAGATGTCCGGCATGAGTGTCAGCCAACAACACAATGCCAAGGCGGAGGTGAGGTGAAAAGAGACAGACGCACAGACACGGGGAGAGAGAGAGAGAGGGAGAGAGAGAGAGGCACCGCATCGGCGTGTTTGTGTGTATTGTTGTGGGGGCGCGTTGCGTTTGTCTCTGGTCCGTCAGTCGCTGCGTCAGTATCTGCAGAGCATGTTGACGGCAGCCGAGTACGACAAGGCATACGGCATCGTCAGGTCATCCAACGCTGGTGGTGAAGCTGACGGCAGTGGGGGCGGGGGGGGTGACCTGATGGTGCAGCTCAAGGAGGTCATCGGGCCACAAAAGGCAAAGTCGCTGCTCGAACTTTTCCAGGCAAGCATGTCGTGTGGGTGTTTATGGGTGTGAGTGTATGTGGGTGTGTCATGGCATGTGACCGTGCAGCTGCTGGTGTTTCTGGAGGACATTGCCACATCGACCGAAGAGGCGGCAAACGCATAATTCGGGTGGGTGTCGGCTGGGCTGGCTGGGACTGGGACATGAATGCACTTGTAGGGGCCGGGTGGCTGTCTTTGCTCAAGTGAATGAAGGGCGGGAGGGTGTGTTGAAGGGTCAACTGCACTACATGAGGTATAGGTGTGTGAGTGCATCTGTGTGCAAGTGTAAGTGTGTGGATTGGATTGGCCAAAGGCTGCACTGCAGGGTGGATGGATGGATCACACACAAATGGCCAACACCGCACCTATCTATCACTCACGTTAGTTAAACACATCACATCCACACATATGAATGATGTATATTCACAGTCGTCAAGGACGCAGCGTCCATCGGCAACACCGATCCGATCCACACCCCTTAAAACCTCCCGGCCTCCCCCTTCGCCAGTCCATGTGTGTACGCTGCAGCCACAGGATGTTGGCGCACCCTCCAGCACATCAAAGGGCACACATGCATCCGTCGCACCGTACGAACACGGACTAGTGGTAAGAGGGGATCGGGGGTCTCTCTCTCTCACACACAGCCATCAACACACACCACACACAAGTCAGGCGAAGAGGGAGATGGGCTCTGCTTCGGGATCCAGTAGCACGGTAGGCGTCTCTTTTCTCAGCCCCGCCCACGCCACGCAAGACAGCTGCTCGCCTCCATGCGACAACTGCCGTCCCTGACGAGATGTGGGCCGAGAAAAGGGGACGCCATCACCGCAGAGCCATAGGAAGAAAACCAGTCCAGCACAGCTGCTGCACACACAGACACAGAGAGAGGGGAAGAGAGAAGGAGACGCACTCTGTGTCCCTCCCTCCAGTTGTGTGTGTCGGTGTGAAGGGTACTTACCTTGATGACACGCATGTGATCACATCTGGACGGACCATGTGTTGCCGAACTTGCCGACTCTGACCTTGTCCGCCTCCAGCTGCCGCGACTCCATGAACGCCTTCAGCGCCACATCGCCGTCAGACACACTCTTCGCTGCACACACACACACACGCACGACACACACTCTTTGTTGCCTTGCTGCCTCCCTGTCTGAGATTCGAACTCCATCTCACCTGTGCCGACCTTCTTTCTGCCGAAAGTGGAGCCGACCCAGTAGGCGCCGATGAGGGCGGCCGCGTCCTGGGGAACGTAATAGATGGCGGCTGATATCACACACTGCACTAGCAGCGAGTCCATGCGGAACGATAACACCGGCAGGCTGCTCATTCTCCCCTCACAAGTGTCCAACCTCGCCTTTTCTGAGCTAAGCTCGCAGATCTGCGAATGAAGCTTTCGATGCAGCCGCCATCCCCGGTGTCCCTGCTGGCTGCGGTGAGCAGTCTGATTCTCTCTTTCCATCAGCCATCGCCGGCAGCGGCCTTCACCCTCTCCTCTCCGGTCTCACCATCTGCGCATCTGCGATTGGCCCATTATCCCAGGCCGCCATCACCATCTCGGTAGACATCCAAGCACAGGCATGCTCTCCGCTTCCTGCACAGCCGAACACCACACCCTCTCTCTGTCTGTCTGTTTTTTTCCTGTCTGTCTGTATGTGTGTGTATGTTTGTGTGCAGGCTGTGTGCTCTAGACTTCCTGAAGGACCTGATGGGCACAGAGAGGGAGAGGGGCGGGGGTACCGCTGTCATGGCCAAGAGCTACACCATCGCTCTGACAGGCAGCGGCGGGCTCGTCGGCAGCGAACTCATGAGCATGCTCGAAGGTAACACTTACACACGCATCCACACACACACACACACACACACACACACACATCAATAGATCTCTTGTGTCCATCCATCCAGGCACCCAGATCAACGGTCGTGATGTCCTCGTGAAGCGGCTCGTCCGCCGGCAGCCGGAGACCGTTGACGAGGTGCAGTGGGACGCATCAGCCGGCGACCCATCTCTGCTGCAAGATGTGGACGCGATCGTCCATCTGGCGGGCGAGAATGTGGGCAGCGGCGAGGGGCTGCTCGCGCCGCTGGGGCGGTGGAGCGAGAGCAAGAAGCGGAAGATTCTTGAGAGCCGTGTGCAGGGGACAAGGGCGGTTGTTGACGCTATATTGGGAATGCAGAGGCCGCCCAGCGTGTTTGTGTGCGCCTCCGCGGTCGGCACAGCGCACACACGACAGACAGACAGCCACTCGCATAATCTGTTTGTGTCGTGCAGGTGGGGTATTACGGCTTCAACAGCGGCGAGCGATTGTTCGACGAGGGCGACGCGCAGGGGGAGGGCTTCCTGGCAGACGTGTGCCGGCAGTGGGAAGAGGAGGCACAGCGCGCAGCCAGCAAGACACGAGTGGTAGTCATGAGAAAGAAGTAGAAACACAGTGACTGACAAATAAATGCCACAAAGTGCTCGTGTCGTGCCTCGCGTGTGTGTGGACAGGTCAACACGCGGTTCGGTGTGGTGATGAGCAGGCACGGCGGCGCGCTCACGAAGCTGCTGCCGCTCTTCTCTCTTGGCGGGGGTGGTGTGCTGGGCAGCGGCGAGCAGTGGTTTCCATGGGTGTCCCGCAGAGATGTGGCGGGGGCCATCCTCCACGCTCTCAAGACCGAGTCATTGCAGGTGGGTGTGGGTGTGGTGGGTGGGGGTGGGGAGGGAGAGAGACAGAGATGTGTGTGTGTGTGTGTGTGTGTGTGCGCGAGTATAGGGTCCGGTCAATGTGGTGGGGCCATCTTGTGTGACCAACGCCGAGTTCACCAAGGCGCTCGGGCGAGTGCTGAGCAGGCCAACGTTCTTCCCCCTGCCGACGCCTGTCGCACAGTGAGCACATAATCGATGGATTCGTCAGACAGACATTGATATGGCACATCCTCGTGGGGGAGTGTGTGTGTGTGTAGGGTACTCTTCGGAGAGATGGGCGAGGAGCTCCTGTTGGGAGGGCAGAACGTCACGCCTAAGAAGCTGCTGGAGTCAGGGTGAGTGAGTCAGGGAAGGGCAGGTGGAGTCACAAAGCCACGAGAGATGTCTGTATGTCTGTCTGTCTGTCTGCAGGTATGAGTTCCAGGACTCAACCATCGAGAGTGCTCTGAGCTGGGCGGTCAACCAGGACGATGTGGTGCCTGCCGGCAAGACACTCAAATAAGGAAATAAACAAAGGAGCGATCAGACAGACACAGATGGTGCCACTGTGTCTGCTGAAGGAAAGAGGGAGGGAGAGCGGACACAAAGAAAGTGTCGATCGCGGGACGATGTATGGTTGTGTACACTGCGCTTTATGAATGTGGGTTGGGTGCGGTGCATGGGTGAGTGTGTTAGAAAGATTTGTGTCACTCACGAGACGTCACCGAGACAGACAACGCATAGAGACGCATCCACCGATGCTACGTGTGAATGAACATCTGTTTCAGCACCAACCACAGTCCATTGCCACACACACGGATACCCCCAACAATATTCATTCGCTCGCCACGGCAAATATGGCAATCAGTCTACTACACGTTGAGGAGCCTGAGGACCTCCCCTTTGAGGGAGAGCTTGAGCCTCAGGCAGCTCCGCTCCTTGACGGCCAGCACCCACCGCCTCTCCGCCGACCCCTCGGGCAAATCAGGCTCCTCCAGGATGCGACGCAGCACCGAACCTGAGATGCTCGCCTGCACACACGACACACACGGCACACAGAGAGACATGTGCTCTGCGTGGGGGATGGGTGGCTGTGGTACCTGTTTGATCTTCTCGGAGAGGGCGGCCGCTGCAGGTGAGCCCTGCTGCAGCCGGGCAGCCAGCTCGTCGACCGTCAGGCGCTCGACGGCCAGCTGCTCATGCCCTCCCCCATCAGCAGCAGCAGCAGCAGCATCAGCAAGAGAGACGCCACCGTGTGTGTCAGCCTCGTCTGTGAGTTTCTTGATGAACAGCTGCAACTCCAGGAAGCAGCCGTCGGTGACTCTGAAGCTGCGCCGGAACGCCTTGGTGACGGCAGCGCTCTGTGCGTCGGGCGGGTCTTTGATGAGGTCGAGCAGCCCGTCGTCGAGAGTGTCGAAGGCCTCCCCATTCTACAGCAAAACAGCAAAATAGAGGAGATGGAACGCGTTAAGGTGTGTGTGTGTGTGTCGGTCACCTGCTCAAATTTGGCGGCGAGCTCGTGCAGCTCCGGCTGCGGGGCCCTCTGCCGCAACATGGCTACAAACTGAGCCCTCGTGACGCCACCCACAGCTACCCGGCCACCCACACCTACACCCTGACCTCCCCCCTCCCCCTCCCCATTCACTGCCGCCTGGCCGCTCGGATTGCCATTGCCGCCACTGCGACGCTGCTGCTGGTGGGGGTGGAGGTGGACACCTTGGAGATTGTCGTGTCTCTTGCCTCGGCTGCTGGACGGTTCGATCACGAGAGGACCGATACCAACACTACCACCACCACTACCAGCAGCAGCACCACGACCAGCAGCATCCTCCATGTGCTGGTCGCCATCGGCGCTCCCACCGCCCCCTTGCTGCCTCTGTGCGGGAGATGCTGGCTCTTGCTTGACGCCGCCCACGCCCATCTGCCGCCCGTTGCCGCTTTTGCTGCCGTCGTCAGTGCCTTCTGACTCGTCATCCTCGAGTTCTATCTTGCCTGTCGCTGACACGAAATCCGCAGTGATATCGAGGACGCCTCGCTCTCGATCGGCCTCAGGTGCGTCGGCTGCGGGCGGTGGGGGCGGGTGTAGGGGGGCCGGTGCTGGGTGCATTGGCTGGCCCATCAGTGACATCTTGCGGGGCCGACTGCGTGGCTGAGGTTGGGCGGCGCCCTGTGCAGCTGCCGCCGCCTGCGTCCTCAGGTCGTCCCTGTATCTGGCGGCGTCCATCACGGCCTGCAGCACGTGGGCATATGTGCTGCCCCTGACCTCGAATGGCCGATCCCCGTACGCCCCCACTCCCTTGACGATGATGGCCAGGCTGCCGGATGCCGACTTCTTCTGCAGCTTGACGCCCTCTAGGTCGTGCTTGAGCATGTCCGTGGCGCGCGTGCAGCTCAGCAGCTGGTCGTAGTGCACGTGCGCGTGCAGCTCAGCAGCTGGTCGTAGTCGAGGGGCTGGTGGTGGGTCAGCTGCCACTTGGGTGCGTCTGGGGGTCTGATGGCCTGGGAGCGAGGGTGCGCATGTGCAGAGGGGAGAGGGGCCGCCATGATGCTGGACTGCATCGTGGCGCCGGGATCTTCAACCGCAGCCGCGCGACTCCATCTTTCCCCCTTCTCCTTGCGGCTGCGCCACCCTTTGACGCGGAGGATGCGCCTGCGCTTCTCTTCGACTATCGCCATGTGAGAGCTCGCGTAAAGCCTTTCTGGTCCCTTGTGCTTGATTGACCATCCGCTTCATCTTGTGGTAAACCTGCGAAAATTCCCAGCAGGTTTTGATGGGGCCGCGCGATGCCTCTGCGGAGAGGTAGTACTCGCCACCGTGACCGTCGGGGTAGGGCCCCATGGTGAGTGTAACACACTCGGGATATCTGTGGTGGCTGCTGATCTCGAATGACGTCTTGTCGGGAAGCTCGCGGAATCGAGCGGCGATGCTTCCGTCCCCCCGGGGGCACTCGCAGAAGGCGCGGAACTTCTCAACACAGTCAGAAACGGTCTCTACAGACAGAGACACACACACACACAGAAACACACACAGACAGACAGACAGACAGAGATTGGGCCCAACGCATTTTGATTGACACCTGAACCACACGCCCTCCTCACGTACCGACATCGGGTCGCTTGGGCCATGGAGCGGCAGCAGCAGCGGAGGCAGACGCAGCGGACGCAGCGGCCGGCGACGCCTCCATCGAGCTGCCGGAGTCGACGGCCTTGCGTGTCTTCAAGCTGTCATGAGTGTCGTCGGCTGCATGGCGGGGGGCATTGCGGCGAGGGAGGGGGGAGGAGTCTGTCGGGCTGGACAGACTCCGCTTGGACCGACGACGACCACCATTCCCCTCCTCCTCCTCCTGCTGCTGCTGCTGCTGCTGTTGCTGGGCTGGTGTGTCCTCGACGTCCACCTGCTCCTCGGGCGGCCAGTCGTATTCCTCTACGACATCGAGCAGCCCTTCACACTCGACCAGACAGGATGTCCAGACATCTTGTCTGGACTCGTCCTTCAACCCCTTCAACCTGGATGGATGGAGCGACACACATCACACACACACACACAACTCATCCAGCCATCCACCCACACATGCCTCTCTCTGTTTCTTGCCTGCCGGTCGGTTCACCTACCTAGCATTTCTATAGTGGATGGCTTCCACCAGCGCCCCCCGCACCCCGTGGCTCTGCCCACCACAGCTGAAGTCCTCCACCTCCACGCGGCTTCCCTTCTTTCTGGGCAGCGCGACACGCCAGGCCACCAGGCGGTCCCCATGGTGACACGGCTCGATGCACAGCGGACCGCTGACCCTCTCACGCAAGAGGCTCACGATCGGGTGGATAGGCGGCTGGGGGGAGGGGGAGGGGGAGGGCTGGTTGTGGCCATGGTGGGGGTGGTGGGGGTGGTTGCCAGCGGTGGTGCCCTTCTGGTCTGGTGGGTTGCTCGGACACCCAGACACCTAGAGGCAACGGCACATAGGTGTCCGGCACGAGTCCATTCTCCGTGTCAGTCATGTGTTCCTTGACGCACCTGAGAGTCCCTTGTGCCGCCGTTAGCCGCCGGCTGTCTGCTGGCTGCTACTCCGACCGACACGTGGGCCATCTGCAGCTGCTGTTGGTGCAGCTGCTGCCGGTGCTGCTGGTGGTGCTGCTGCGCCTGCTGCTGCAGGGCGCATCTGCGAAGAGCGAGTGCATTGTCGAGAGCCTTGTGGACCGCTGCCAGCGTCCTCCCGTGAATTAGGTACTCTGCTAGCCACCCCTGTAGCACACACACACACACGCACACGCGCGAGTCCATCCATCTCGTTCCTGTGCACTCACCGGACAGATGAAGGCTATCTGTTGGTGCCCCTGCCTCCCCTTCTGCCGCAGCTCCACAGGGCATCGCTGCCACGAACCCCTCGCCTCCCTCTCAGCCGCCTGACGGCACTCGGCTATCGCACTTTGCGCTGCGCTGACGAGCTCGTTATGTGAGAGCTCCTGCTGCTCCTGGTCTGGGTGGCCGCCACTGGCTGCCATTCTATCAAGATCTATGAAGAGAATGTCGCTGATCGGTCACAATCCTCGCCGATCGGCGAAATCCTCGCCAAAGCAGAAAGGATCGCGAGTCATGAGATTCGCGACGTCGCAAGATGCCGTATTCCCCTTCGCCATCTGCCCGCACACCGCACAACCCACCACCACCAGCAGCTGCAGCAGCCACAGATCTCTCCCGCCCTCAGCTGTTCTTCTCTGGCTGCCTGGAGGGGTGCGAGGGCACGGCCGAGAGCACAGCGCTGTGCTGCTCGTTCAGCCTGCGGTATGACAGCAGCAGCTGGCGGCTGCTGAGAGGCGCCCAGGAGGGCGCCACGTTTGTGAGCGAATGTGACGGCGAGAGCAGGTAAGGCCTGACGAGAGATCCCTCTCTCTCTCTGTGTGCGTGCGCCTGCGCGTGGATGGATGGAATCTCTGTGTGTGTTTTGGCGCAGGTATGCAGTTTGGAATCATCCTTTGGAGGGGCATTTTGCCTTCTCAAGCGTCAAGGGGTGGCCGCGGTTGGAGCTCCGTGTGTTCGAGGAGCACCCCTCCGGCGGGGTGGAGGTCGCCGGCCACGGCTTCATCCACCTTCCCACCACACCAGGTGTGTGAGCTGCATCCATCCATCCATCCATCCATCGGACAAAGCACACACGCCCGCCATTCACGCGCGTGTGTGTGGTGGTCTGGTCATTCAGGTCATCACGACTTGACATGCTGGACGTGGCGGCCCACCCCTGCCTCTGGCCTGGGTCGGCTGCAGGTGATGCTGCTGGGGGGAGTGCCGCAGATAGTCAATACTAGTGGGGGGGAGGGTCGTGGTGGGGGCGATGGGGGCAGCCCCGCGAGCACACTGACACAGCCCCACCTGGCAGGGCCGGATGTGTGTGTGGAGAGTGGTGGGGTGAGGGTGAGGGTGTCGATGGACGTGGCTTTGAAGAATGTGCGGGAGCATGGCATAGTGGTGTAGTGTAGTGTAGTTGTGTGATGTGATTAGATTACCCTGGCTGGGGTGTGGGGTGGGTGTGAGTGAACCTGTGCAGTTCGTTCGTGTGTGCCTGCCAGTGGTTTGTCAGTCAACAGTCAAGCCTTCCCAGGTTCTCCATATGTCGTTTCATTTGTCTCTGTCCACAGTCAGTGAGTCCCACCCAACGAAACGAGCGAGGGCAGACCAGGCGACCTGTCGAGTCGAGTCAGTGCAGTCCAGTCCAGCCAGTCCAGCCAGTTGTCACCTGACCTTCGTTCGCGCACCACACTAACACACACACACACACACACAAGGAGACCTATTCTCCTTCCCTGCCGTCCTGCCTGCCTGCCTGTCTGTCTGTCTGCAGCTGCCTGTCAGGTCAGTGAGTGCGAGTCGAGTACCTACCTACCAGTGCGCAATTGGAAACTAAGAAACAAACGAGTGATTGCGTACGCACCCATTGACCAAACAAACACTCACATGAAGTCGAGTCGTGATCTGTCTGTCTGTCTGTCTGGCATCCACTCATGCGCGCCGCGCCCTCATTGTCCTGTCAACGCAACGCACCCAACGCGACCGACCAGTCTCGCCAGACAGACAGCCAACCATCCTGCGAGCGAGCAATGTGTGTGTGCATCCCCCTCTCCCTCCCTCCCTCCCTGCCGCCCTGCTTATTTGCCGGCAGCGGGGTACCGCGGGACGCCATGCGCTTTCCCAGCCGCCGCGTTGGGCGTCTGGTACTGACCGACACACAGGCGGACTCGATGGACACACGACTGTGTGGGTGTAGTGTATGTGGCACCCACCCCATTCACCTGGCTACGTGGCGAGTAGTAGCTGCTGGGATTGCGGTAGCCGTAAGGGCTCATGTCGCGGACCGCACTGCATCCCACACACACATACACAGATGTGTTTCCCTCCACCGCCCCCACACCACGTCCGTCCTATCACCACCCACCCACACCTCACTCACCGTGGTCTCATGCCCGGCGGCGTGGCCTGTCTGTGGTACGGCACCCCAGCAACGGGCGACGCATCCCGGCTGCGCACCCCAGCCGGACGCACACCAGCAGCACCCCCAGCGGCACCCCCGTAGTTGACCGCAGGAACCGGCAGAGGCAAGGCGGACGGATGGCGGCCTGCAACACACACACACACACACACACACACATGGTGAGGGAGTGGGGGGGCGGCTATGGCCTGGCCTTCTCACTTACGGTCTCTGTTTGGAGTGTCGTGGCGCGACCCGCCGCCAGAGGGTTGTCGCTCCACCTGCTGCTTGTTGTTGTCGTCTGCTCGTGGGCCCTCCGTGGCCTCGCTGCTGTTCTGGCGCTGGGTGGTGTCGGCCGTCGACACGCCCGCTGACTCAGTCTGATAGATATGGTGACCATCCAACATACACACGGGGGAGAGAGAGAGAGAGAGAGAGTGGGGGGCGGGCGCATGTGTGTGTGAGTGGGTGGCTTCAGGGTGTCGTTAGTCTCACCTTGCTGTCGCCGCCGTTGTGCCCGCCCCCCTGCTGGCCCTTCTTGAGCTGCTCCTCCTTCAACATGCGCCGGATCTCACCCTTAACACACACACACACACACAGTTGATGTCCTGTCCCTCTCTCTCCCGCTCCCGTTGTGCTGTTTGGCTCTGTCCTCCCTCCCTCCCTCTTTTACCTGAATGATGTCCTTCTGCAGGAGCTCTGCGGCCGAGGGGCGCTTGCGGGGGTCGCGCTGCAGGCAGTCGGCCAGCAGCTGACGCAGCCCGGCGGAGTAGCTGCTCGGCAAGGTGGGCGTCTGCACACAAGACACGACACACACAGCCAACATAGGTAGGTGCATTGTGTGGATGTCTTGGCGGTTGCGAACGCACGTACCGGTCCTCTGGTGATCTTGTCGACGAGTGACCGGAGGTTCTGGGCGTCAAACGGCACACGCAAACACGCCTGCACAGTGTAGTGGCATGCCACACACACACATGGATGGAGGGAGGGAGGGGGGAAGCTGCAGCGATGCAAGACGAAACAGAGCGAGGGCGTTGCTGTGCTGCATCCTTCCTTACCATCTCGTACAGCACGCACCCCAGTGCCCAGATGTCCGACGCCCATGAGTATGGCTGCTCCTGCAGAAAGAACAAAGGGCCTTAAGAAGCACGTCACACATTTTTCCTCGCTCCCCCTCCCCCTCCCTCTCCCTCTTTGTCTGTGTGTGTGTGTGTGTGTGCTCTGAGCGTGCCTTGCAAATTTCGGGTGAGAGGTAGTAGGGTGTGCCGATGGTGGTCTGCGCGAAGGCCATGGTCGACTCGAGCACTTTGCTGATGCCGAAGTCGCCGACGCGCAGACGACCTGACGCCGTCAGGAAGAAGTTCTGAGTCTTGATGTCTGTCACAACAAGTCAAGTCAAGTGTTTTAAGCCAAACCGCCCATAACGTCTCTCTCTCCTTCTCTCTCTCCCTCTCTCTTTGCCCCTTTGTGTGTGTTTGTCGAGTGGCTGACCTCTGTGAAGGATGTGTTTGTCGTGCATGTACTTGAGCGAGAGGGCCGCCTGCGTGAACCAGCGGAGGATCTGCGACTCGCTGTCAATCACACACACACACACACACACATCCATGAGTGGGCAGGTGGGGCAGTTGTGTGAGTCACCTGAAGTATTGGCTGGTCTTCTTCTGCTTCTGGATCTTGTGGTACAGATCGCCACCTAACACAACACAACACAACACAAGACAACCAACAGACACACACGCACGGTGGTTGTGCTGTGCAGTGCAGTCCCCGGCCAGCCACCGCACCCTCAGCGTAGTCCATGACGATGCAGAGCTGTCCGTTCTCGATGAAGCTCTCTCGGTAGGAGATGATGTAAGGGTGCTTCAGAGACGACAGCACCTTCACCTGCCACCAGACACACACACACACACACACAGACACAGACACACAGACACACAGATGTTCGTTCCTGCGTGTCTTGTCTGTCTGTCTTGGGTGCCCGCCTCGTTGATGGCCTCCTTTCTCTCCTTAGAGCCCATCCTCGATATGTCAATTATCTTCATGATAAACCTGACAGATACGCAACCAAACGCCCCATTCTCGCCAGGCGCCTCCCTCCCCTCTCCCTTCTCCCCCCACCCCCTCCAGCTGTCCCTTCGAACTCACTGTTTGCCGTCCGCATCAGCCACGAGAATGGCCTGGCCGAAGGACCCCTTGCCCACGTCGCGCACCTTGGTGTACCCCCGCATCTCACACAGTGGGGCTACGGCGACTGACTGCCTCTGTGGGATGGAGAAAGCAAGATGAGGGGCGAGAAGGGAGGGATGAGTCAGGGGCTCGGGGCTGGCTGTCAGGGAGGGAGCGGATGACGCTAAGCTGACGTGAACGTCTTCCCCTGCTGGCTCAGCTCGCAGACGAGTGCGAGGTAATGGCGATGCTGCATCCTCTTTTCGCTGCCCAGGACTCCCCGCAGCACCACGGGAATGAAGAATCGTTGAAGATGCATCAATCCCTCTGGCTGCGCATCAAGTGATCTGGCCGCATTCGCAACCGTGCTCAGTCGCATTGGCATGGTCGGCGCTGCGCACATGGCTGGGACAGCCGCCGGCAAGAGAGGCTCCCCGATGAGTGGCGGCATGGTCAACGGCACTCATCCTCAGGACCACAACCTGATGCATGACGTCGACATGGATGGTGATAGAGAGCACCACAGGGGGACCCTGCCGCCCGATGTGCTCGCCTGTATCGACCAGCTGCCACAGGTGAGCAGCCTAGCCGATGCACCAACCCCACTCACAGAGAGAGAGGGAGGGCGATGCACAACTGTCTGCCTCTGTGTGTGTGTATGGTATGCTGTCGGGTGTGGTTGTCGACCAGGTGGACGGCCTGAAGCTGCTGCGAGACCCCCTCTCATGGCTGGTCATCGTCGAGTGCACCCTCCCTGCCGACACCCTGAGCAGCACCAACGAGTACCTATGCCGCTCAGTGCCCATCCACACCGCCACACCAGCAGCGGTCATGGACGCGCGAGAGCGGGCCGAGTGGGTGCAGCAGGCCATGAGTGACGCCATCGCGCGACACACACTTCAACGACCCACATCAGCAGACAGAGAGGTCATCAAGCCCCCCTCTGCCGAGGGACGGCTGGACATCAACAGCGCATCGGCACTGCGTCTGAAGATGCTACTTGCCGAGCGGATGGCCGTCCGTGAGATGGTGCGTGAGGGCGAGGAGGCAAGAGAGATGGAGACGGTGAGTGTGGGTGCCGGCAAGAGGGGCCGGGACAGCAGCCACGAGTGGAAGATCAAGGTGGCCAAGCGGATCGACGCCCAGGTGAGGGAGTTCTTCCAGCCACCGACAGGGGACATGGAGGGGCATGTCGCAAAGGCAAACGCCGTTGCTCAAGGTAAGGTACACACACGCACCTGGAATGGACGGACCCCTGTCTGTTGTGTCTTTGCCAGGTCTTCTGAGGCACAAAAGGAAGCCGATTGCGCCACGAAAGGCGTCGCAGCAACGGAGGCCGGCGAAGGTGCCCAAGACGCACAGCACACACGCCATGACCGCCCCGCCTGCACCCCCACTCCGACTCCCAGCCCCTGCCCCGCCCCCGGTTGACACCCGGCAGGCTCGTGTGGTGTCGCCCGGACGTCCCTCTGACGACCCCAGGACCAGGCAGCACCCACCAGTCCTTCTCAACGTCCAGCTGCCCTCATTGCCGGTGGCTGCGTCGCTGCCTGACTCATGGCAACAGCGGCTGCTGTCGTCCGGCTTTCGGCCGCTCCCATCAGCACCATCACCAACAGCAGCAGCAGCAGCGAGCCAAGACATACCCGCCCCCGCCCCTCTGTGGCAGTCGGCAGTCGATGACGCGCGAGCTCAGCAGCGTGAAATCATGGACCGACCACCGGAAGCCAACAGGCCCAGGAAGACCATGCCACGGGAGAAGGAGGAGGCCACGATTAGGTTCGAGAACGGCGAGGGCGACTGGCGCACCTACCTTGAACAAGTGCGGGAGGGAGGGGGTGGTGGGGGAGCGGCGAGGCGAGATGGCGGCTCCCTATCTGCGGCCCCGCTGCCGCAGCTGTGGCTGGACATGAGTGTGGAGGCGGTGGTGCTGATGCGGCAGGCTCAGACGCAGATGGGGCTGGTGTGGGGGAGGGTCATGGCCGAGAGGGTGGAAGGCCCCGATGCGCCTTGGGTAAGCGAGCGACATACGGCCGCATAGGTCAACATCACATCACGTGTGTGTGTGTACGTCACAGGGCTGCCCCTTCAGTGCGCCGATCGGCATCTGGAAGGTCTCCGTCCAGCTCGTCGGCTTCCGCCCCACACACGCCGACAGCGACCAGCCGTCATCTCTCTCCATCGCTGTGCGCTTCGACGTTGCTGAGACCGTCATGGACGAGAGCGGCGGGTCCCAACAAGAGCTGCGGGCACACCTGAGGACCACGCCGAAGACCAGCCTCAAAGCAGGTGCGCAGAGAGGAAAAAAGGAAAAGACGCAAGGTCCTGCCTGTCAGTCACTGTGTGGCTGCAAGCATCGTGCAGGCCCATCGAAGCGTCAGCGGCCGGCGGGTCTCGCCCCCTTTATGGCTGACGAGGCCGACGCACCACCCCCACCCACAGGCAGCAGCAGCGGCACCGGTGTGCTCGCCGATATGCGCGCCAGGGCCTTCCAGGCCTCGCGCCGGATACTCAGGTGAGATGGAGCCTTCACTGCATCTTGATCCATCGCAACCGCGGCCTGCCTGCCTGTTGCTGTTTGATTGAAGGAACGTTCGCGACACGTGTGTGCGAGCCGAGAACCTCCTGGGCGACACCGACACCACACACACAGCCATAGCCCCAGCCATGGGTGTGCCGTGTGGTCGGGAGGCGGAGCGGTTTGTGCGCGTGGTGGGCCCTCTGTTCGTTCTGGCGGCTGGCGAGGTGTACACTGCTCTGCCGTCGTGGAACGGAGTATGTGAGATGAGAGAGGGGCGGGGGGCTTTCTGTTGCGGCATGAATGGAATGTCCGTGTGTTGCTCTCTCTATGCGTTCGTTAGCCGCTGGGGTGCTGGCAGTGGACGACGTCAGGCAGCCTGGCGGGCGCATGGGACCTACCAGATGCTGACGCAGACGCGTCATCGGCCCCCCAGTACCACACCCACCATTTCCTCCTTGCCGAGCCGCCATTCTTCGCCCGACGGCCGAGGCCCATCAACAAAAAAGCAAAGGGCAGGGGCAGCAAGCGGACCCCAGCAGCAGCGGCAGCACCGATGCGTGCGCCAGCCAGGGGGAGCAGGGCCATCAAGACCGCCGCCCATGGAGATGATGGTTTCCCTGGGCCGCGGTTTTCGCTCTCCCCGATGCTGGCCGAGCGGATGGCTCTGCTGCAGGGTTTCTCTGTCAACCGGGCCGCCGCGCGGGAGCTGGCCGTCTTCGTCGAGAGCCAGCTCCGCAAGCAAGTGAAGATGGTGCTTGAGAGGTGGACCGTCGACCTGACCAGGGCCCTCTCGCCCCACCACATCAACTTCCTCCTGCAATCACAGGACCAAGACGCCATTGTCCTGGGCGGCATCCCACACCCACACCCGTCGGCGCCGCTCTACGAGCGCAGGCCTCTGCCTAGTACCGCTGGCCCGGCCAATGGCGGAGAGGAGCTTGCATGCGTCAAGAAGGTAAGGTACCTGCCTACGTCGTCCGCAACGACCAGGGATGGAGTTGCGTGTGTGTCGCGTCTGATTGGATTGCAGGCGGTGTGTCTGTCGAGTGTCCTCGCCTCGCCCATGCCGCCGTGTCCCCCACAGGAGCGAATTGTAAGCGCCCTTTTTGTCTTGTCTGCCCATTGCGTCTACATGTAGGTATCAATGGTGTCAACGTGGTTCTGTGTGTGTGTGTGTGTGTGTGTGTGCAGGCCCCCCGGTGGCTGGTGGTCGACGGTGAGATGCCTGGCACGGCGGAGAACTGCCCCAAGACAACGACGGCCCCGACGACAAAGCGATCTTTGAGAAGGGGCGGTCGCGCACAGATCGGTCCGTGTGTCAAGGGCAGGGGGTGGTGGCGCGAGAGGGAGAGGGAGAGGAAAAAGAGGGACAAGCACGACAAACACGCCCAAGCTGCAGAGTCTCACCCCAAACCCACCGAGGAGCTCGTGTCCATCAGCCTGGTGCCTGGGGTGCATGCACTGGCAGAGAGAGAGAGAAAGGACAGACAAGGAGGGAGGGAGGGAGGGAGGGGCATCTACTGTGTGTGTGTGTGTGTGTGTGCAGGAGGCTAATGCAGAGTGGGAGCTGCTCAAGGAGAAGCTGCGGTGTGTGGCCAAGGGGGCGGCGACACTCGACGACCACGACGTCAAGCTCGGTAAACCACACAAACACATTCCCTCGCCCAACAAGTCACTCATACCGAGACAGCCCATCGCTCCTTCGCTCCATCTACTCTACCTGTCCGTCTGTCTGTCAGCGCTCGGTCGATTGGCACTTGGGCGTGGGATGGCTCAGCTGGTGCCTGAAGTTCTCGACTTCACCAGGACACAGGTGGGGTGGGGGCTACCCATGGGTAGTCAGCGAGCCAGCCAGCCAGCCGCACTCGCCTGATTGCATCTGGCCCACTCATGTCATTGCCGGCTGCGCAAACTGAAGTGCGAACACCGACACCCAGCGTGTTTTTTGCAGAGGAGGCCGGGTGCACACACAAGGCCTCGCTCGTTCACCGCATGCCACACCTGACCTGCTCTCTCTGTTGTCTCTGTTGTGTCTTGTGCGATCGAATCTTTGCAGATGGCGGCGATTCTGACGCTCAAGATCCCCGAGAGGAGCGTCGAGTACGCCATGGCGCTGTTCCGCACCTTCAGCGGCTTGCTGGACAACCCCACGCTGCACATGGAGCTCATGAGACACGTATGTGTGTGAGGAGGGGGGGGGAGCGCCTTAGACAGTCCGGTGCGTGTGTGCGTGCAGACAGAGGAGGTGCTTGACATTGCCCTCACCTTTGCCCTCGACCCTTCGGCCGAGAGTGAGCGAGACACACAGGGGACACGCTAGAACGCCATACACCTTGACGCTGTACCGTTGGTTGCTCTCAACGCACGCAGACCAGCTTGTGGACAAGGCAGCTGCGGCATCGCACCCCGACAAGCTGAGGCTGCTGCTGCACATGAGGAGGCGCGCCGTCGACCTCGTGGCCCGGCTGCTGCTCACGTACGTCTACACCCAATTAACGACCTAACCAGACCACACACACACGCACACACACTGCACGTGTGCAGTCATGGGCCTTCCCTTGGCTTGTCTGACGGCGGGGAGGGTAATGAGGTGAGGAGCCTGGCCAGGCGTGTTGAGAAGCGGTATGCAGAGGTGCTGCAACGGCCGGGAGAGCACTCCTACACCACTGTGTACGCCGCCATGCAGGTCAGACAGACCAACAAGAGGCAATCAATGCACTTGGGGTCCGTCCGTCTGTGGTGGGTGGTGGTCAGGGCATCATCTACCTCGGTCTGGACTGTCTCCTTCGGCTCGTCGGCGACGTCGCCACATGCCTGCACTTCCTGCAGATGAACCTCATCGAGCCAAAGGCAGCAGAGCACCCACACCCACACCCACCACACGGCCTGGTGGACGTCATCGTTCGCGGCCACGAGGAGTTCGAGACCGAGCCCGACATGGACAAGCTGTCCTTCGCCGGGCCTTCCTCCCCCTCACGCACCTACTCGATGCCATTCCCCCCTCTCTCTCCATCGCCCATGGCCCGTCGGGGCTCCATGTCGCCCAAGCCGCCCTCTTCGCCGCGGCCGAGTATGGGCGGGGGGACCGACTTGAACGAGATCATCGCGCTCGAGGACATCCTGCAGGAATCGCCTTCTACCAAGAAGGTGAGTCTGCAGGAATGTGGGGCACGAGAGAGAGAGAGAGAGAGAGAGGGACCATTCCGTGTGTCATTCCTTCTCTCCGTGTGTCATATCAAGGATGAGGAGCTTCGGGATCCGTCCGAGCCGCCCGACATGTATGATATCTCTCGGCGCGACAGGGACCTGTCCCCCGACAGGCGGAGCAGCAGCAAGGGGGAGGGGCCGCTCTCCGATGCGGGTGGCAAGCGGGACCGGGAGAGCTCGATGGCCAAGCATCGCAAGACCACGGCAGTGGAGATCTCCATCCTTCACGACTGCGTCGTGCAGCTCTGCATGGTCAGTGGGGGGTGGGTGGGCGTCACAAAGGCAACACGTGGATCATGACTTGTGTGTGCACATGTGTGCAGCGGAGTCTCGGCGACGTGATTTTGGCGGCATCGGCGCCTCCCCAATACCCATCGGGCGAATGGACACTCAGAGGTACACTGGCCCCCAGCACCCCGCCCTTGTCGATACCGACACTCACTACTCATGTGTCGTCGCTTTGTGTGCAGGTGTGCACCGTCGTGGTGTCCCCTCTCACCCGCCCTCCGCTCTGCCGGGGGTCATGCGCATGGCCATGGCGTCTCTCGCCCTCTCGGCTGACATTGCCGACCAGGACTGTCTTGTCAAGGACGCCACTTCCGTCATGTGCAGCCCCATGGCTGCAGAGCCCCTCCGTCTTGCCCTCGTCTCCACCATCCACACCATCGCGGCCGAGGCGAGTCGGCAGACAGGAGCCCTTCGGCAGCCGCACGAGGAGCCTTTCGTCGACGAAGCACAGTGTCAAGCGATGGACGAGGTAGAGACAGAGATGCCGATAGACCAGCAGGACCAGCGGGAGAGAGGCGACCAAGAGCAAAGACAAGAACGAGATCATGAAGAGGAGGAGGATGAAGAAGAAGTGGAGGACTTCCTGGAGCAGATGCTCGAGGGCGACGACCAGCCGGCCCCACCACCAGCCGCCGCACCGGCACCAAAGCGGCAGCAGACGTCTGTGCGGCCGCCAGCACCAACACCAGCACCAACACCAGCACCAACACCGAAGCCCGTCAAGCTATCGGCGGCCAGCAAGGAGGCCGTCACCAACCGAGCGGCCACCTTCCTTGCCGCATACACGACCGCCATGGAGCTGCGGGGGTCCCAGGCACCTGATGTGGTCTCTCTCAACCGGCGAGTCAGCAAATGGCAACGGACGCACACACTCGCCCAGGCGTTCCACCAGCAGCAGCAGGCCATACCTGACGACCCCATTGTGAGTGTCAATCGTGCGCGTGCGGCCCCTGAGCAGCAGCAGCAGCAAGAGGGAGGGGGCAACCCGATGGTGGACCAAGTGCATGACGCAGATGAGGAGATGGCTGGGAGGCGTCATGTCGATGGTGGTGATGGTGGTGGTGAGATGCGGGCGGCAGCAGTGAGCTGTGGTTTCGATGGTTGGTATGTGTGTGAGTGGTGTGACGAGTGCGAGGATCTGCTCGGCTTGGCGACTGTGCGTGTGTAGCGGATGGACCCTTCATTCATCGATGGGCTGATCGAAAACCAAACGCGAAATGCGAATTATCCAATCACCACAGTGTCTGCCACTCCGCCCGATAAAACACTCTTGCTCTGCGTCTGCCCATTAGCTGTGCAGCGAGCTAATGGGATTGCCCAGAGATCAAGAGGGACAATCCCGGTTTGTATCCATGCGTCTCACATGGACAGACAGACAGACATGACTCGAGCATGGGGCATGCACGCACCAAATAATGGCGCTCAATCAGAAGCCTCTCCTGAACAAAAGGAGGCAATGAAGACAATGAATCATCCTCCCCTTCCCTCGTTCGCTTCCCCACCTGCGCTGCGCCTGCGCAGGCTCAGGGACGTGCCATCAAAGGTGTAAGGCGTCTCGTCGAAGTCGTCTGACAGGTGGTGCCGCGCAAAGTAGTCACTCACATCCCCATGGCGCACAAACCATGGAGGCAAGAAGAACCGGACGTGCGTCTCTCGATGGCCACCGAGGCGGGTGGACGCCTTGAGCATCGCCAGGAGGTTCTTGCTGACGGTCTCGATGAAGGCTCGACGCTCGTTGTCTGAGGCGCCTTGTGGAATCATATCTGAGCGGCGCACATCGACACGCATGCACAGGACCCTCTCCATAGCCACGTGTCTGTACCCACCGGTAATCCACAGCTCCAGGCATCTGATCGGGGACACTTCGGCGGCGTGCGTCTCCCATAAGGATCCCACCTCCTCGTCGCCCAGCGACAAGTAATACAAGACGTCCAGTGCCGTCTCGCCGCCCTCGTTGAGCCGGGCTGCTTGTAGTGCCTTGAGGAACTCGACAGCCGCTTCCCTGGGAGCCGCATCTACATCTACCTTCCCAGACACGCGGATGTAGTTTTTGCCGATTGCCGTCGCCACGGACACGGCGCGTTGCATCGTGTCGGGCGTCAGCGACTCGGCACACAGGTGGAAGCAGTCAGCTCGGGGGAAGGTCGATGGTGTTATGGCGGTCGCGGCGAGCTCGTTCGGTTCGGGTAGGCCATGATAGATGACGCGGGGGACGATGCGGGCGAACTGCTCTATGTGATACCGAAGGAACGGGGACTTAGCCCGCGCCCACGACAGCAACTCGACCGACAGTTCTGCTTCCCGATCCCAGGCATCCCGATCGTCTTCACCCAAGTCAACCCACTCGACACCGCCGGTCAGCAACGCCTCTGGGTCAACGACAGCCGTCCTGGTGGCATACGAGGCACACAGACAATCGTGCAGCCCTTTTGTTGCCTCCTCTGTCCTGCTTGCTTACACGAGATGGTCGAGCATTATCAGGTTGTCGACGTCTCCTTGAACGTCCATGCGCAGTATCACGCCCGTGTCGATGCATAGCTTAGTCAGCCTGTTCATGCAGCCCCGCGAGGTGAGAGCATGCTCCAGTTGCTGAATTTCGCCAACTTCGGCCCCATACAGGTAGATGTTGCCGAGCTCTCGCAGACCTTCCAACGACTTGCCGTCTGCAGGCAGCTCAGCCAGCATGGCCCGTATCACCATGCCGTCGCCGTTGCCGGAGTCGTCGCACACCAGCGCCTCCAGGCTCGTGCAGCCCCGCACCCACTCAGCGCCGACATCCTCGTGCAGACAAGATGACTGTGGGAAGTTTGGTGAAGGTGAGGACTTTGATCTGAGGTGTGTGCCTACACATACACAACGTATCCCATCAAGTGCCCCATCCCTCTCCCTCCTGCTCTCTCCCTCTCTGTGCTGTTGATTGGTCGTACCAAGAGCGATCCATCCGCACGTTTGCGACTTCGACGGGCATGTTGCGGACCTCCGTGAGGGCCGGCAGGTAGACGGGAAGGATGCGGGGAGGGACACCACCATCAGTCTTGGGAGGGAGGGGCTGTGAAGAGGTCACCGCATTGGCATCACCGTTGTCATCACCGTTAACACTATCATCATCATTATTATTATTATTATCTTCTTCTTCTTCTTCTTCTTCTTCCTCTTCCGTGAGGGCCGGCAGGTGAACGGGAAGGATGCGAGGAGGGACAGCGCCATCAGTCTTGGGAGGGAGGGGCTGCGAAGATGGGGCCACATCACCGTCTCCTCTCTCCCACTCCTGTGGACCTCCAATGTCCACCGCCTCGAACTCCAGTACCCGCAGCGACCCATTGGAAGCTGCTGCCGACGCCGTTCGGGAGCACACGCCCGACGGCTGAAGGAAACACACACGCACAATTTCCATCATGACGTACACACCGTCACTTGACGACTTGCCTGCGACGTGTTGTGTCCAAGTGCTGGTAGCGCTGAAGCCAATGGTACGCCACTGGTGTGCATTGGCTGCATCAGCTCCGCAGGCACCGGCACGCCCGTGCTGATCTCTATCAGATCGTTGGTGTCACCGGGCCGCTTGTCTGCCTTGTTCTTGACGGCGATGGCTTGCTGCCGCCCGTGGGCGTGCCCCTCCAGTATCGCCACCCACACGCCCATGCACCACATCGGTGCATTGCTGCGCTCCCGCCGCGACACCGCCGGCTTCGGATAGCGGACCACCAGCTTCTCGAGAGTCACTGCAGCCATCCCCCACTGATATGCGACCTCAAGTGAGACCGCTTCCCACATGCGGCGGGTGTTTCTGTGGGCGAAGTCGATGACCAGACACCGGGCCTTGGCGGGGGTGGGAGTGAGAAACAGCGAGGGGCCGAGGGAAGCCTGCAGCAGAAGGAGTGGCCGGCCGCAGGCATGCTCGAGGTGGGGAAACTGCCGTTTGATGGCCGCAGACACACGAGGAGGAGGCCTCGCCTGGGCGAACACACAGACCGAGCAATTTGTCAGTCATTTGCGGGCATTTCAGGAACGTCAGTGTGCGTTGTACCTTTCGTTTTCGCTGAGGACTGACTGATTCCTCGGCAGTCGATGCGGCAGCTGCAGCCCTCTGCTCCGCCTTCGGCGACAGGAAGCCACGCTTCATCTGACAAACACAACACACAAAGCAACATATGATTGCTGACTCCTCGATTGAGTGCAGAGAAGGCTCTCGTTTGCTGCTCGTTGCCTCACCTGGAGAGCGATGACCCAAAGATTCGTGCAGATACGCGAAATGTCGAAAAGCACAAGGTTGCCGGTGCCCGCTTCGAGAGGTCCGCCCTGCTTCTCGTTTGCCTTTTATTTGCTGTTGTCCTGGCCGAGAGCTCGCAGGATTCCTGGCCGTTCCTCGCCGTTCTTTCCCTGGCGACGATTTGTAGACGTCGTGGTAGATATCGCTATTGACGCTCAAGCATGGCTCGCAAGCGGCAGATCTGGCGACCAGTCGCCCGGCAGCAAGGTACTGAAGCCATTGATGGTGCATTCTTCGGCTGTTGCTGATGCATCTCATTTCGTGCAGGTATTGGTGGCCACGCTGAAGCCGCCTCGTCGTCTGCTGATGGCGATGATGCCGCTGATGGCGGTGCGGAGGATAGTGAGGCTGCTGCGGCCGTTTTCAAGGTAGATCACAAACAGCAGCATCCAATGTGTTGTGCAGTCGTCCTTCTTTGGTTCTTGTGGGTGCTGCTGAAGGGCAGGCCATTCGGATGCAGGGCTGGTCGGGCATCTCCATGGTACGTAGGAATGCATCGACAAACAGATGGCTCAAGTGAAGGTGGCAGATGCATTCATTCCTTTGTATCTGCCGTCGGTGTGTGTACAGCCTCGAGAGCTTCACGTCGGCGTCTTTGCGTTTGTCAATCCCGTGTGGTGTCTGAAGCCGCCCCTCCCCTCCCCACTCAGCGGCGTCGTCCTGCAGCACCACACCGAGCTCGTCATCGACTATAGCAACACTCGCCACCGGAGATTCTGGAGCAGCATGGCGCCGCAGACGGCATACGAGCTCGGCCAACAGATGATCAACCTCAAGTGTCTCGTCCATCGATTTCCGCAGACACCTGATGGGGCAGAAGGGACCGAAGATGGCCACTTTGTCCGTGCATTTGGGTGGTGCCGCGGGGTTGTCATCGCACTGGTGGAGGGCCATGCGGCGGGACGACAGGCGGCGCGCGACAAGGAGGGACCAGTCACCGGCATGCCCGAGGGCTCGCTCAAGTCACTGAGCTTCGAGCCGGTGGTAATTTCGGATCTCGCACTTTCCGAGGCTGAACAGCTGAACACCATCAACTCTGCTCCTCTTGCTGCCGCCCCATCCCACCCCATCAACCTGGCGGCCCTCACCGAGGCCATCGGGGTTCACACTGCCCACTCGGTCATCGATGGGCGGGGATGGACAACACCGGCCGTCGAGTGCGTGTCTACGCATGTGTCCGACGAGATAGCGCACATCAGGCCGTTCGTTGCCACGACGAGGTCCCTGGTCGATCTGCGCGAAGGCCTGCCGGCGCCATCACAGGTAGCGGAGCTGATCGGGTCTATTCCAGTGGGGCAGCGGGGGAGCCAGGGGCCTCTCGCGAAGCTGCAGACGATCAGCTACATCAAGCTCTTCGATATCGAATCGGCTGATCTTATAGACGGCCTTCGGGACCTCCAGGTGGGTGACACAGAAAGAAAGACACGAGGGGACACACAGAAGACTGAGGAGGGCCAGCCACGGCATTGATAGCTTCTTGGCTCTGTCGATTGTGTTCTTTCTGCTTTCAGGCGTGCTTGGTGGATCGAGGCTGCTCGAAGTCTCTGGATCTCCTGGGTGTGGAGGTGCATCCCAACGACTGTCATTCGCTGATCCTCAACGACTACGCGGCATTCAAGGCCCTCGCCACATTCATCGACGCAATCTGCTCACCCTCGGGCGAGGTCGGCATCTTCATCCAGCCCCCTGCCGACGGCGAGGAGGTGCAAGACATTCCCCTCCCCCACCTGCTGGCCTACACCCGCTTCGATTTCAGCAAGCTGCCCCCCTGCGGCTCCCCACTCCTCTGTACGCTGCTCCAGACATACGGTGCGCGGCGTGGCATCTCGGATAGCAGTCTCGTCTGCCCGAGACTCGAGACGCATGGTCCGAGCCCCTCCCAATGCCGCTACGTCTGGACGGTCACGCAGGACCAACTTGCCCTCCCCCGGAACGGCCCCATCGCTCACAGCATGCAGAGTGGGCTGGTGTTCCCAGCTTGTGAGGCGCCACCTGAGGGATACAGCATTTCCATCGAGTGTGCGGACGGATGGACCCCGCCACCCGATGCCATCCCACCCGAGCCGCCCGAGCTCGACGCCTTCAGCCCGATCGGGCTCCTCCCGGTGACAGGTCTGACCGTCGAGAGCCGCATCGGGCTGGGAGTGGCCAAGATGCTGCTCAGCAAGGGGGCGCATCTCGGCAACCTGCAGCTGATGGACATGGCGCCGGCAGACGTGCTGGACCTGCTCAAGGGCATTCGTGCATCGCAGATGCCGAACCGGATCCAGTTCGCGTCCCTGACGCCAGGAGATGGGCGGCAGCTGCCTGTGCTGCCCTTCGACGGACGGCTGCGGGGGGCCAAGACACTCATCGCCGAAGGAGACATCGCCATCCGCCTGGCGGCACTCATGAGAGCACAAATGACCTCGCTGAGCGACCTTGCAATGTCCGGCAGTGAGGCAGAGGCGCGCCAGGCTCTCACCAGCCGAGGCCATGGTGAGATCGACCGCCTGAGTCTGGGCTTTGTGTCCGAGGGTGGCGGCGACCTCATCAAGGCTGAGGACGAGAGGGAGGGCATCACACTGGGGGATCACAAGGACGACCTGCCTAGCATCAAAAACCTGGTCATGCACCTAGACGGTAAGTGGCCAAGAGATGGGGAAGAATGCGCTCATCCACCCTCCCCTCGAGCGTCTCTGTGTCTCCGTGTCTCGATTGTTGCAGTGCCGTCTGCCGCTGTGGTCGATCCGGGGACGTTCATTCTGTCGGCCCTCGAAGTAGAGTCCATCTCTGAGCTGACGGTCGTCCTGCCCCATCGCTCCCACCTGGGTGACCTGATGGAGGCCGTGGAGCGACGCTTTGCGCCCCAGCAGATAGCCATCCACGCCATGGACACAGACGCGCGTTACGTCATGACGGCCGGTGCGCATCAGATCTCCAGCTTCATGGACCTCCCGGAAGGGCAGATAGAGCTCTTCATGACCGCAGAGCACATCGCAGCGGTAAGTATGGGCACACATCGGGACAGATGTGCATGGGTGGAGGGCAGGAGGCACCGTGTCATTTCCTTGCAATGTGTCTGTGCTTATCCACCAGTTTCGCAAGGTGGCGTTTGCCTACTCGTCGACTGGCCAGCTGCTCGCATCACTGATGCAGACGGAGGAGCAGCAGCAGAGGCTGGAGATGAGCATGAACCTGGAGGCCACAGTCAAGCAGCTGTCACACTACCTCCCCTCCCTCCCGCCCGATGCCGCAGCCGAGGCGCTCGCCACCGACTTCGCCGGCCGCATGTATGCTGCTAGCCTCATGAGTGTGATCGATCCCCCCTGTGCGCCTCGACGGCTCAAGGCACCACTCATGGCCGTCATGCAGCAACGCGACCTGCTGATGGAGCCCATGCTGCGGCTGCATGGCGACGGGCCGTGTCTCACCAGCCCCTCGGTGATCGCCTCTGCCGCTCAGCTGATGGCCATACTGCAGAAGACAGGCATACACATCGCAGGCATTGAGCTTCTCTACAAGTAAGAATGAGCCATCGACCATCTCTTCCGCCTGGCTCATGTGCTGTTTGTGGTGTTTGCTCTGTCCCTGTTGCAGGGCGACTGAGCACGGGCATGGGTACACCGATATGCTCGGTCGTGTGGGCGATGCGAGGGGCCTGCTGTTCCTCGTCCGCTCGGACGGAGACATGCACGGCTGCTTCATTGACGAGAGTATCCAGCCGCCCTCGCATGTAGCTCTCAATGCCTATGAGGCGGCGGGGCTCGTCTTCAAGGCATCCGGCGCCTCCCCGCCCACCTTCCAGTCGCCCTCGGTGATGCCCTACTGCATCACTGTCTCGCAAGCAAACAACGAGCAACAGGGGCAGCTAGCCAAGGTGAGCGTGGGCGGAGGATTCGAGTGGCTGGGGATGTGGGCGCCACCGCCTTTGGGTTGGGCGCAGGGGGCGGATGGGCGGTGCTGCGTGAGGGCGGGATGGGAGGCAACGATGTTGCAGCCGCTGCACCCCAACGTGCCACCGGTTCCGGTATACAACCTGGATGTGTTTTTTGCTGATGAGATCGAGGTGTTCACAGTGGGCGGGGCGACGGGGGTGAGTGGAGTGAGTGAGGCAGGGAGCTGTTCTTAAGGGGAGGCAGACTGAAATAAGGGGGAAAGCCAGACTCTTTTTGAAGTGACCGCCTCCGACAGACGAGAGACACTCTGAGAGACACGCCATTACATCTCAAGCGGTCCAGCAAGCTAAGCGCTCTTCCATCCATCCCTCATTCACAAAGTGTCATCCGTCCGTCCATCCATCCATCTGCCCGCCTTATCTGTGTGCCCTTGTCCGTCGTCTTCTCCGCTGTCTCCTCTTTTCGGCTCTCATCTCTATGAAACCGTCAAATCCCTGCATGTCGGGCACACCTTCACCGTAACCTGACCAAGACAAGAAAGACGCACGAGGGTTAAACAGCGACACATATGAAAAGCACAGCGCTGCCGACCACTACTGCCGCCGTATCGAAACATCGGCAGCGCCGCGGGCCGCCTCATCTGCAGGGGCGCTATTGGCCCGTATGCCGCCTCATTATTGGCATACCCTTCTGGCTCGTCTGAGTACATTGGCCCCACCGCCGTCTGTAGCGGCGAAGGCGGCCTATAGAGAGACGCCTTCATCTGGTATTGTGCAGCTGTGTTCTTCAGCAGCATCCGCATGTCCCCCGCGTCTTCAGGGCCCAGCGGCGCAGCCGGTCGGCCGCTGTATGCTGCTGCGCTCATCGATGTGAAGCCGATAGGCGGGCTGGCTACAGGAGCCATGGGCGGCCGTATGTCATAGAGAGAGCGAGAGGGGTCGGACATCGGAGTGGCAGGCGAGTCGTCCTGAATCATGTCTCCTCCGTCCCCCCTGTCGCCCGTGGGCACCTCCTCGCCCCATGAAGGGTCATCACCGCCTGATGACCGGACAAACAAGTCCGGCAATATCGTCCAGCAATGCATGACCGATGCGTACCGTTAATGTCTCTCGTTCCTCTGCGAGTGGCCTGTCGGTCAGTTTGGAATCTTTGGATGAAGCTGCCACGCCCTGTCGACACTGGGCCTGCGTCCAGATCCCCCGTGAACGTGTCGACCTCCGGTGTCTCCTCGGGAGCCAAACCTGTGAGCAAGAGTCGTTTCCATGTCTGTGTGCTTGCACATGTGCATGCGGGGATGCGCTTACGAAAAGTCTTTGCTTTGGCTTTGTTGTTGGCGGCGGTTTGCGACACTGCCATTAGATGGTCCGCTTCACTCGCCAGATCTGCACATATATGAAGAGAAGAAAATTGAGGGATATGTCACCGCGATGGATGATCTCACCTCCTTCAGTGCTGTTCTGTGCGACAGACACATGAAAGGGCTTCTTTGGAGCAGACGGCGCCCTGACACGCTCGAGCAGGTCGCCAAGTGAGGCTGCTTGCATGTCCCTGCTGCCGTTCTTGGCCGTATCGAACGGCCCCGCGGGAAGAACGCTCGCATTGGTCATCATGATGGGCCTTTCCTTGTCGGCCAACATGGTGACCTGCTGGGCATCGAGACCACCGCTGGCCAAAGTCATGTCAGGCAGACTCATAGATGGCCCATTGCGGACGGTGCTGCGGACACGCTGACCGGGAGAGTGTGTTGCATTCGACGACATCTGGACGAAAGCCAGGTGCGGTGGCATTGAAATTGGCGGCAGAGGTGCGCTTGGATCTCGAATGAAGAGGCGCTTCAGCTCGCCGAGGAATGAAGCTGGAGAGAATGCTGAGGTATTATTGCCCGAAGGAGCCAGCCGACGGGAGTCCCAATCGAGGAAGCCACGAAAAGAGGAGGACGCCGAGCCTCCCTTTCTGGCGTTGTCCTCAGCACTGTCGGCTGCAGCCAATGGCGTTCCTCCTTTCCTTCTGCTGGTTTCTGTTTCGTGCAGCTGTGCCATGGTCCTTCTCCTGGCCGGGGCGATGTGGTGGTGATGGAAGCTTCTGCCACGGTGTGAGTTATGGATGACCGCCGCAGCAGTCAGTGCAAATGGCAGCAGCAGCATCGCCGCAAAAGACTGTGGGTGGGGGCCGGGTGGGGGTCGCCTGAAGACGGCAGCTGAGACGCGCATGTCTTCGTCTCTGTGGACACAAGCGTGTGTGAGCTGATCTCCATGCCAACATGCATGGGAGGCCTATCCATCCGCTGCCTTAGCCGCAGACTCGACGCACTCATCGTCCTCTCCTACCTGGCGATGCTCTGCCCCTCCTCGGCAGGTCCAATTCTGCCACTCGAGATACTCTTCATCGTGCTGGCACTGTTTGTGGAGCCCCTGGACTCCTCCGAACGACTAATGCTGCTCAGGTGAGAGCGAAAGGAGCGTGTGCAATCTGAGCCTCGTTGACTGCAGTGGTGTTTCTTAATCTCAGAGGCACTCGCACTCGCAGGACTCGTACGGGATCGTCTCAGGACTCCTTCCCAGTCACTGCATTGCCCCACGCTTATTGGCGTGCCCCGCCGCCCTCTGCTATCAACGTCACCTTCCCCATGTCGGCGGGACAGCCGCTGATGCGGGGGGCCATACAAAGACAGCCTGCCCCTGACCCAGCGGACCAGCCAGTCAACACAATGCACAGGCACCACTCGAGGAGGCCGCCAGAGCCTCTCATTCTCGGCAGTGGAGACCCTCTGCAGACAGACATTGACGTCGCGACGGCATCTCGAAAGGCACACGTGAGAAGCAGGAGCGAGCCTCGGGCGGAGAGAGGGTCAGTGAGAACCCGTGCTTACGAGGAGGCACTGCAGGTGGCGCTGCGGTCTGACCCTCGGCAGCTGGAGGCACCGGCTCACCTGTATGGGCTCATCACGGCTGAAGACCAGCACTACCTCGAGCTGCCAACTGAGCAATACAGGCCCCCTGCACCACAAGTCCAGGCCCCAGTTCAAGTGCCATTGCCGAGACGGGAGGCTGTACTACCAGTTGTCCCACCACGTGTGACCAGCAGGCCCTCTGCGCCGGCTACAGAGGTATACAGGCCCCTTCCACCCCCAGCACCTCTCGCAGCGTCCTCTCGGCCGATCATCAGAGAGACTCCTGTGAAGCAGCCCGTCTGGCAGACCGCAGAAAGTACTGCATCCCCCACTCGTGAGACCTTCCCTCAGCCCGTCAGAGCCCCACAGCCCCAGGAGCCGACAGCCGCTCCGCCTGAGATCATGCGCCGACCGGTCCCCCAAATGGCTGTCATGAAAGCTCAACCTGCCTCACAGCCCCTCATGGTGTCACCGGCTTCAGCGGCTCCGCCACAAGCGCCCAAAGCTGTGGAACAAGCGATTAGTCAGCCGATCATCAGGGAAGGTCCTGTGCAGCAGCCCGTCTGGCAGACGGCAGAAGCTAGTGCGTCCCCCACCGGGCCGACATCTGCTCAGCCCGTCACAGCCCCACAGCCCCAGGAGGCACCAGTTGCCTCGCCGGTCATCATGCCACGACCGGTTCCCCAAATGGCTGTCAGGGAAGCTCAGCCTGCCTCTCAGCCCCTCATGGTGTCTCCGGCTTCAGCGGCTCCGCTAACTGTGCCTCAGCCTGCTCCACAACTGCCGAAACCTTCAGAGGGAAACGTGATTAGTCGGCCTGTCCCACAGCCCGAGACGATTAGTCAGCCTGCTGCTCCTCCTCCACTCCCACAACAGCCACGGCAGCCACCCATTATTCCGCCAGCACCAAGAGGGGCCTCTCCCCTGCCCGTGGAGTTGGAGACAGAGGCGCGCGTGATCCGCGTCAAGGATGGGCAGCCGGCGCCGGTGTTGGTGGTCAAGCCATACTGGGACGCATCGCGGCAGAAGCTGATCGTGCCGTCAGTCACGTTGGTCTTCGAGCCGCACACCAAGGTTACCAACTGCAAGAGTGTCGGTGTAGGAGGGGGAGGGCAGTCGACGGGCCCGTCAGCCATGCTGGAGATCCCTCACAGTCGTGATGTGTATGCCTCTCGGGGGTTTGCTCACCGGGGGAGAGATGACGACGGCACCAAATGATGGATTCCAGAAGCTGTTGGGGGGGCTGGCTGGTTGGTTGGGGGTTGGTTCCTTGCTGTGACTGTGCGGGTTTGGCTCGGTGCTGTGACTGACAAGATTGTCGACATTTCCTTTGCCAGATAACCTTACTAAAGATACGTACACGAATCACACAACGAACGAGCGAGAAGAGTCACATGCACACACAGCACACGGCGGACAGGACAAACACCCAGCGTCCAGACACACACTCCCACGCACACGCGCATCATGACGCCCGCAAAACAGGCCAGGCATGGTGCGATCGGTCGGCCGGTCGGTCGATGACATGGGTGACATGACATGACTGACATGGCGAGCGAGAAGGCAATGAGGGCATGAAGAGGTGGGTGACGCGTACGTACGTACGTGGGATGATTGGGTGGGTGCACACCTGACAGACAGAGGTGAGTGAGTGAATGAGTGTGTGAATGACGGACAGACAGACATACACACGTGAAGCGACTGAGGTGCATGCCATGCAACAGCGGGTGCACTGAATGCAGCAGCGGACGGACGGACGGACGGACGGACAGGAGCTCTCACGTACGGTACGGTGACTTGAGTGAGTGAGTACCCCAGTGTCTGTCTCCCCTACCTGTGCTGTGTTCAATTGCATGAAAAACGATTGATTGGGTAGCATAAAATGCCAGCCAGCCTGATAATCTATCTGACGCACGGACGTACGCCCCTACTCGCGCACGACCAAGAACCACGGACCATACCATCACATCAACAAGGTACGTCATTGTTTGTATCCACGCTGGCAATGGACGCGGCGTGTGTGTGTGCCACATGTGCTGTGCTGACTACCACTGACCGACATGACATAGTGTGGGATACATATCATGGTGTGAGGGTGTAGGGGTAAGACCAGACCAGTAAAACTGCGTGTGCGCGCAAGTGGACCCCCTTCCACCCACCCACCCAGCCACCCAGCCCCATGCATGTCATGTGGTCGACCGATCAGATCCGAACAGCGACCGCTCCTCGCCGCCCCTCTTTCTTGACAAATCCATCGCGCACACAAGGGTGGATCAACGACACACAAACCGGCACACAGGGATACATCAATCAAAATGCCTTCAATTCCTTTCCTTGTCCTTCGTTCGTTCGTTGGCTGGTTTGTTGCCGCTGCAGCTATCGATCCATCGACCGACCGAGCCTATCGAGCCTTTCTGTCCTCCCCTCGGTAAAAACAGGATATTATCATTTCGAGCTGCCCGCCCACCCAGACTTACACGGCAGGCAGGCAGGCAGGCAGACCCACGACCGAACCGACCACATACATCATGGCAGATGCGTGACGTGACACGCAGGCAATGCAAGGCAAGGCAAGGCAGACCATACCAGACCAAGACCAAAACCAAACAAAGCCACGCTCACTCCTCCACTCGCACGAAGCCATGTACATTCCTTCCCTTCTCTCACCACCACGACCAGAAAAGATCACGTCACGTCACAATGCATAGCGGACAGAGGCAGGCACCGCACCAGACGACCCCCATCCCATCCATCATTCACGAATGACATACATCATCACCTGCAGGGGCATAGCATACACATGACATGACTGACATGGACACACATACACAAGTCGATGTGCACTGCCACACGTCCGTCACTCACGCGGCAAAAGAGATAAAAGAAAAGGACACACACCACGCGCAGCGGTCCGTTCGTTTGGTGAAGAAAGGAGGGGAGGGGAGGGGTGGTGAGGTGAGTGGGGCCAGCACCCACTCCCCCAGCCGGCCACGGCCCCCGAAAGTCAGCCAGAGAAAAAGAGCGATCGATTGTTTGGTCAGAGAAAAAGATCGGTTGCGGTTCGTTTCGGTTCGGTTCGGTGCGCTGTGCCTTCTCTGTCTGTCTGTGTGTCTGTCTGTCTGTGGTCCCAAATGATCAGGCAGGCAGGCAGGCAGGCATCGATCGCATCGGCGTCGCGGTCACGTCAGGTCACGTCACGTTGTGTCGCTGTCCACTGACACAGGTCACAAGTGTAGTCAGTCAGTCAGTGGTTTGTGGATGATACATCCAGCCATACATACATCCGGCCAGCCAGCAGTGAGTCAGTGAGTGGGTGAGTGGGTGAAAGTGGTTGGTATACAAATAGGGAAGAAGAGACCATCCGGACCGCAGCTCAGAGGCCCTTCCACTGGTTAACAACACCACCAGACAGACAGACAGGCAGACAGGTAGACAGAGGGAGGGGAGGGGAGGGGAGAAAAACCGCCGCAAAGTGGGCAGCAATATGACAGACAGACAGACAGACAGACAGGTAGACAGACAGGAAAGGACACACAGAAAAGAGCCATTCATCCAACCACATGCAGGTGGGCCGGCAAATTTGGACACATACACAGTCGAGGCATCCATCACACGCATGGCATGGCATCACAGTGGGTGGACCGAACCGACCAACGCAGCCCCGCAGCGCAAGCGCAACCAACAAGTGTGGTGTGCAATGCGATTTTGAGCAAGACAGACAGACAGACGGGCAGACAGACGGCGAGTGACACCCTCCCCACCCACCCACCCACCCCACACACCACGAACAGACACATACCATACACGAACACGAGTAGACACGCACTCGTACGGTACAAGCCTTACGCTCTCTCTCCTTGTTTGTATTCGGTGTTTCCACCAACCAAGGACAGACAGACACCCATCACTCGAATAAAAGACCTGACTGACATACACACGGACACACACACATACGCACAACGCACCCACACACGCACATCGCACCCAGCACGGACGGCATAGTTAGTTGGTTAGTTTGGCGATATATAGGCAGGTCGGTGAGTCAGTCGGTTGTGTGGAGGGTCGGCCAGCCGAACCGGATCTCTCTCTGTGTGAGCTAGTTGTGCTGGGCAACTCCTTTGGTTGGTGCCTTCTCGAGCACTGCAAGCTGCTGCATGGCTGGCAGTGGCCGCTCTCAGACCACTGCAATGACCAGCCAAGCAGCTGCCGACGGCACGGGACAAGGCACCGTCCCAGAGGGCCGCACACGCAGTGCAATACACCTCTGCCTGCCTGCCTGCCTGCCTGCCTACCGGGAAGTGAGCAAGTGAGTGGAGTGAGCTGAGTGCGGGGGCGGGCGGGCGACTGACTGATACGCGTCGACACAGGTATACACACCGACATCCACCACATCGCGTCACACCATCTCGGCACGGCACGGCACGGCACGCCCCGCTCGCTCCTGCTCCATGTAATCGACCAGCCGTCGTCTGTCTGTCTTTCTACCTATACGCCACCGATGGATGGATGGATGGACGGCTGCAAGCATGCACACACAAGACGACAAGACAAGACAAGACAAGACACATAAAGGAGCAGCGGGCACGACACACTCACACACACATGGACAGGATCCACATGGCTGGATGGATGCGTTGAGGCAGAGTGGTCAATGCAATCAATCGATGGATGGATGGATGGATCGACAAAAGACACAACATAGCAGACACATCAATCAACACATCCTTCCTCCCCGCCCTCC